GATAACCTTGTGTGCCTGGTGTGTGCAAATCTAATTATATTTTGGTTGAGCAGAAAATGTCAGCTTGCATATACTTCCAAGACTTATGGATATCCTATCTCTGGAAATAGCAGAGCCACAAATGGGAACTATCCACAAGTGTGAAGTTAACTCAGTCTATTTGCAAAATAGAATAAAAATAAAATAAAATGCCCAAACCACAACACACCTTTATTCTTTGCTTCTGTAAAACTGCAGCAATAGATGGAAAATGTCAGTAAAGGCGGAGCTAATAGCATATAGATGATGCGTGCAGGGAACACAAATATAAAGTCTCTGGTTTGGCTCCTATTTGTTTCTTGCTCTGCGATCTTGGTGAGAGTTCATTTTAACCATCCCTTTTCTGTGCTGACACTTTCTTACCTCTTCTTCCTCACCATTCATTCTGTATGTGTGTTGTCTTCTTCTGCTCCTCCTAAAAATGTATGGATCCTCCTCAGAAAAGACAACCAACCTTGAAATATCATCTTTTATACTGCTGCCTGCCTCCATCAGTTGTCTGTTATCTTAACCCAACAAAAGACCTTCTGTTGTGGCTGCTTGTGTGCTTAAAGTGCCTGCGGAGGTTCTTGCAAAACTGGGAGCTGAGGCTATCAGCGGCTGCAAGGGAGACACCCCAATGCCATGGACACTCAATGCCTTCAACAAGCTCAGTCTGCTTTCCCAGGAAGTACACAGAGCTCCCGGAATTTACAGTTTTAAGTATGTTTTATTTAGAATGGCTGTGCTGGGGTTTTTTATGGTGTTCTCTCTTTCTATAGATTTTCTGATACTGTGGTGGCTGGAAAGGCTCTTGGTGTCAGCTCATGTTGGAAAATGTACTATATATAAAATATGATGTTGTTGACAAAACTTACAGATGACTGAAGCTCATTAACAGTAGCAAACAGCTGGTGCTAGTCAAAATGCAAATTAGTTTTCCATGTCAGGAAGGAAGGCACAAATAATCATCCCAAAAGGCAGCAATAAAGACCTACTTCTATCATTTAGGATCCTATACAGCTCCAGGACATAAATCCTCCTGAATTTATGGGAATGCCTTGCTGCAGACAACAGCTCAGCTATGACCTCTTTGGATTCAGGATTCCTTCCACTGATTCCCACAATGAGGATGAAGTTAAATCAGTAAAACTGAGTCACAGAAGTCCACAGAGTGTGAATCTTTCATTTACTGGCTCAAGCAATCCTGTTCAATTTTCACTGGACTGTTTGGTTCAGATGCCATCAGAAGGCAGTGACAGACCCTAATTATAGACATCTGTGAGTAATGCATTTCACAGCTGTTGTGCTATAATGGGCAGAGAGAAGTTTGGGCAGCAGCCAAACATGTTCATGGAGTGCCGGATGCCGATTGCTGGGTCTCCGCTTGGTGCAGAGCCTGTGGGTTGCAGCTGCTCAGGACAGGAGGCAAGCAGCACTCCTGGGGCACCACATTCCATGGGATAGACCAGTGCTATCAGAAATACCAGCTGTACCTGAAACAGAAAGGTAGTTCTCATTCCCAAGGAAGGTTCATCCCACTGGGCCACAACAGCTACTGTCTCCAGAAGCTGAAGAATTGTAGAGAGAAGAAATTGAGCCTTAAATAACAAGCCAGGAGGCAGACAGAAGAATACTGCAAAAAGAAAAGACCCCTGGAGGTTATCCCAGGGTACCTCCTCTCCTGTCACCGTGATCAGACTGTAAACTCCATGAGGCAGGAATGACAGTTGGCATCATATAGATGGAGATACTCTCTGGTAGGTCAGTGATGGTGCTGAGATACCTCCCTCTTCATTTGTCCTTGCAGATGTCACACTTCCAACATCCCTGGCTCTCTAGGGACTCTGGAAGTGGGGAATAGGTCTGCAGGCTTAGAAATAGGTGCCAGCTATAAATAGTGTGATAACAACCTGCAAATAAGCTGAAGAGCCAGAGTGTAATGGCAGAGGGGCTGTCACCATGTGTGGGAGATGTTGTTTTCCCTGACGCTGGCAGTCCAGCAATGGCAGCTGTGAACTATCCATGGAAAGCATCCAAGTTGCCATGTGTTCAGACAGGGAAGAATTCAAGCTCAGCTCCCATTCCTCACAGTCCCTGCTATTTCTAGCTCCCTTTCATGTGTGTGTGTGTTTTAAATAGATACAATCTTTAAATAGCCATGACTTCAGATGGTAGTTTTCAAATAAATCCAAGTGATGGACTGTGGTCTGACCAAGTGCCCTGGGGCAAGGTCTGGCCTCTTATCATAGCCTTGGTCCTAGGATCCAAATGGATCAAAACCAAGACCCTGAGGATACAGCACCTGAATTATATGGTGCTGGCCTTTGTGTGGCTAGGTTCCAAAGTTCTTCCAAATTTCTGCCCAGGCAGACAGAGCATCACCTGTCTGAAGCACAGCCCCATTCTTCAGGGCACCTAGAAAATTCTGGACAGCACGGTGCCTGGCTGGAGGCAGTGGGCAAGGAACAATAGAGCAGAGCAGAACTTGCCTACTGGTTTCAAACACGCATGATGGATTACAGTGCTTGGAGCGTTTTGCAATTTGGATGAGAATTGTCCAATCCTCCAGCAGCTTTCACCTGGTTTTAATAGCCGGATACCATCAACCAGAAGTTCCTCTGGAGAAAGCTCCTCTGCCAGCAAGAACCAATCTGTTTATAAGAGATCTGATCACATTTTGTACACTTGAATTTAAACTGAGCTTGTTAAATGGACCTGGCCTGAGTCTGGTCTCAGTCAATTTCTACAATTATAAAACAGGGACGAGAGAACAAGGACCAACAGTTCCTTGTAAGCAAACCCACTTTTCTGACAGACTCTATCTGTGAGCCATGGAACCTGTCTACTTCTACCTGTGAGCATCTTTCAGTGTTTTGGTCAGCCACTGAAAATATATTTGAAGCAAAAAGTCAGCTCATTCTCTTGTTAGCTTTGCTAAACAGGTCATTGAGTGACACAGAAGCTGAATGAAAGGATGGATGCTGGTTTTAAGAGCTGCAAAATGTTGCAGCTGTTAAAAACATCTGCAGTTCTGCACACTAGAAGGAGGAGGATCCAGCTTTCCTGGCCAGAGCACAATGCTGACTGGTCTCAGAGTAAATGTTACTATGTGCAATGCTGTCCAACACAATGATGTGCTCAGCTCCCCGTGCACCAAGTACTCTGTGCATTGGCTGACGCATCTTCCTCCAATACAACCAATATTGACAATTTCTAGACTGGAACAATATCCCTAAGCTCTGCAGGAGTAGCTGCTTGGATTGGTTTAGCTTTGTCCCTGCAGGGCTGATTCAACAGTCTGGTTCCTCCAGACTTGGTGCAGAGCTGGGAACTCACCATAACGCAAGTCTCCCTGCTAGGGTGGAGCAAGCACATATTTTTTAGATGACAGCTGAGTAAACTCAGTCCTCTGGTAATTCATAAAACAGGGAAAGTGCAAGAAGTCTTGAAGTTCTTGCCTTCTGGCAGAGATACTGGATAGCATCGTGCTGTGTAACTTTATACAGTAAACCACGCCTTGGCCCAGCTTCCCTGTGGGGATAGATTCTAAGGATGGCTAGCAGCCAGGAAAGGGCACTGGGGTTCAGCATCTTTTCAGCAGAAGGTCCATGACATCAGACATGTACCTGCCTAGCTGTAAATTAGTTCCCCTCCACAGGCAGAAACTTGGTTCTCCAGAGCACAAGGGCAAGTATGTGCCCAAGAGCACAATCAGCTTGTACCTGTTACACTGGCAGTGAAAAACAGGTGAAGGCAAGTTTGTCACTTCAGAAAATCACTCTTTTCTTATATTATCAGAATCACAGAATATTAGAAGGGATCAACAAGGATCATCAAGTTCCATCAGTCCCCCCTGTTCTTCACAAAACCACCACCTAGAGAAACCAGAAGTTTCCTTCACTTCTGGTAAAAGAATATCTTGTTTTTCATCACTGTTTCCTAAAAATGAGCAGATGTGGGAAACTATTAATACCCCCCCTGTTCCAGGATGGACACTACCATGTGTTCAGCTTGAAGCGTAAATGAAGACCATAAACAACCGTATCCCACATTATAAGGCCATCCTTTTCCCTGACCAGTATAAATAGGATGATTTAAGCCTCTATGCCCCGTACTTGGAAGCCAAATGGATTGTTTCCATCGCACAGTCTTGGTTTCACCATATAGGATGATTGCAATGTACTGCATTCCACTGCCCAAGCAAATTTCATTGCTGTTATTGACGCTCTTCTCAAACAGTTTTGCCACCTCAGTCCTGCTCCTATAGTGAACACACTGGAGCCTGCAATGACCATGGACCAGAACATACTATTGTTCCTTCAAGAGAGCAGAGTGCCTCTAGCAAAGGCTGAACTCACCTTGTTACACATTCACAAAGCAGGATTCAAGAGGAGTCTTTTTTCATTGAGAAAGAAGAGTTTAGATTTATCCTGGATATAGAAGGTTTGTCAGACTAGCCTGGCTAATGCGCATGAGATTTCCATAGGCGTTGGCTCACAAGGGAATAATGGGCCATGATTCATTCTCAGCACTTTCCACTGATCAGCCAAAACTTTCACAACACTGAAATTCTTCACAGAGACTGATTTCAGTGCAAATCTGAAGATGAGGCTTTAAATCCTTAGCAGCTGACCTCACAGTAGACCCTCACAGCTCCTCAGGGCTTATTAGCTCAGGAACAGGACCAGCCACAACACTCTCCAGTGGGCAGGAAGGTCTCAGTCCTGAGGCTGAAGGGGTTAGCAGCTCAGCAGAAGGACTGGGTGGCCTAAAGACATAAAGGTGATTTATGGCCTGCCTTCTGAGTTGTGTCCTCAGCTGACCATGTTCTGCCCATGTAACTTTCATGCAGCCTCAAGCAGACCTGCTCAGACCATTATCTCTGCAAGGGCGGAATGACTTCATCCCTGTTTCTACACACCATGAAGATACACCCAGAGTCACTAAACAAGGTCTAATTGAGGAGAGGAAGGTAGAAGTTTTCTTTCTGGTATCCTTTCATCTTTTCATGCTCTGGTTTCTTTTCAGTCAAATGGGGAATGAATCATCCTTCTATCTTCCACTGGAGAACTGCAAGGGATTCATAAGGCAGCATGTGTAGGATATGTCAAAGCTTTCAGCAGAAAATCCTCTCCCACAGATCCCATAGAGCTGCACCCCCTGCTCTGCAGACACATGAAGGGGAGCTGCTTTGCTCTGCAGAAACAGAGATATCAGGTGAGGTGGCACCGGAAATCCTTATCCTGAGCTAGCTCAGTCAGCTTTTCCTGGAGAACACAAGCTCCACTCAGTTAAATAAGTCCTGCTACCTTATGCTTCAGAGATTACAAAGCCCCCACCACCACACTCCTCCCTCCTCAGATCCTGTGTTGCTGGGGGCCCCTCCAGTGTTTCATTAGGTTTCCTTTATTAAGGCTTCATGTACAATGAGGGACTTTGTGGTGAAGTGACAGAGGGCAGCCAGTTCGTGTGGGACTCTTTGTCTCAGGTTTTGTGAGAGCTGGTACTGTGAAAGCATTTGACATGCCCACCAACACAAAGACAATTTAATCACTTACTACTTTTAATTGGGGGTGTAGAGAGGGAAAATAAAGAAGAAAGTGCCTGGATGAGCTGCTGCCAGAGGACTCAGGTGGGAATTTATTGTAGCGGCTCCTAACTTTCTGCCAATTGCCCATAGCAATGTATTGTGTAAGAAAGCAGCCCCCACCACAGTGGTGTTTAAAGGTCCAGAGATGAAGGCAGAAGAGTGGTTGAATGAGTTAAAGTGGGAATAACAACTCCAAGTGGGCTTAAATCCACACAAGAAGCTTTTAGGGAAATTCTGTAGCACATGAGAGCAGGTCATGGAGGAGCAGAGATTTTGTTGCTTGGTCTGCAAAAAGTATTAAGCAACTGCCAGTAAAATGTAGGTCTTTTCCAACTGCACAAAGCTGGGCAGCACAAAACCACTACTGATTTTGGAAACTCTAGAGGAGCCAAAAGTTGTAAATTCAGCTCTTGACTTTGGCTATGCCCTTTCTGTAGTGGAAATTTACTGTTCAAGATGGGAAATGTGGGTTATAATTTGGAAAAAACATTTTGATGCTCAGAATTCCCTCTTCCAGCCCTAAAGCCTGTAGTCCTGCAGGTCTCTGAGCACCGTGGTGGCCTCCCAGAGACAAAGCAGCAGGCAGAGTAGAATTGTCTCATAAGATGCTAAAAAACAGCACAGCCTTATTCCAAGGTAGCTCTGATGATTTGCATGGGATAGCAGGTCGTGGTATATGGAGATTCCCAGGAAAACAAACATGTCTCTCTGTGCTTGATAGGTGTGAAATGATATTTACTTGCCTAAAAAGAAGGCATTAATTGTATTGGATGAGGCAAAGGAAAAAACAAACAAACAAACATGTGACTTTAAACCTAGGAAGGGAAAAAAACTTTAAAACAATCTTCTTGGGAGGTCCTGATGAAACAGGACAGCAGAGACAGCAGCCCGTTGCCCTTCTGATTTGAAACCCAGCTAATTAGCTCCGAAGTATGGTGCTTCAGATCTGAACAGGGCATGAAGCTGCTGAGTTTGATATTTCCAGGCCTGTCAGCCCATGCATTAAAAAAGAAACGAGTGAGGGAGCAGCAGGCTTAATGAGGCACCCTGGGGCAATTTGGCAGAGCCGGAAAGAGACCGCCTTGATGGCAAAGTCCTCCTCACATGGCTTCCTGATGTGAGCCTGGGGTACAGAGTGGTGCTAAAGGAAGAGTAATTCCTCCTCCCAAGGCCCCTGCAGGGATTCACAAAGGCTGGGACCAGAAAGCAACACCAGTAAGGAGGGGAAATTGTGCTTTGGAGGAGCACAACTGCAGAGCCAGGACACTGTCTTGTAGCAGCAGCCTCTTCCTGGCATCCCAGGTCTTTGAGCTGCAAGAAGATGTGATGTCATGGTCTTCTGGGGAGGCAAAGTCATACATAGATGTTGTTTCTTGTGCTAGGCTTGGGATAGCATCAACTCCATTTGGAGGCCCTTTCCTGAAGATACTTGGATGTGGTAATAGCCCTGGAGCAGACCCCTGGACCAAGCCACAAACTGTGTTAAAAAGTGCCTGAAACCAGGACAAGACCTACATGGAGAGGTGTCAATACCCTTAGCAGGCTGTCTCCTGTAAGGCTGGCAGGGCACAGATATAACTGAGTGAACTCTAGGCAAGACAAAGGTTAATGGGAACATCTCCCCTCCAGGTGCAGGACATCCACCCATGGAGAGAGAAGTGAGAGAGTGATTTTTTTTAAGATACAAATGAGAACCAAACTAGAAATCGGGCACCCAAATCCTATTTGAAGTTCAATTTCTCCCAGAACAGAGTTTATCACATCTGAAATAGAGTTGCTCTTCATAAAGGCTATCGCAATGGCATCACTGAACCTCAGAGGCTGTTATTCAAGCTCAGATGATGGTTTAGCAGTTGCCAAATGCAATTTGTTCAGATAGGGTCCCAGAACTTATACAGAGGTTCTCCAGAGGTTTCGCCACTAAAGTGGTATTGCTGCAGCAACACATACCAGTTTCCTAACTGTCTCAGGAAGCTATTACTGTCTTTAATCACTCAGGTTTTGAGTGCTGCACTGTCCTGTAGTCCACTGAGGGCTTCAACCCCTTCCTAGAACGCAGGAGAGCCTAGGAGAGCTCCACACCGCTGTGTAGACACACTGCCTGTATCCAAGGCAGGCATAGGAAAGCATTCCTAAGTGTGTCCAAACTGGAGTGCAATTCAAGCTGGGGCAGCATTACAGGTGACATCATCCTTGATCTCTTATGTGTGAGATCTTTTACAGGGCTGTTTCCTATTTCACTCACTCCCTAATTTTTTGCAAGAGACTATGCTGCCAGGCAGAGGAGAAATGTCCCCTTTGGGACCATGTCTCACACTTGCAAACCATAGACTGTCCTTTTTGCCCCTTAGCCCTGGAGCAAGAGATAAAATGGGAAGAGGAGTAGATGTTAACTGTGGCAGTCCCTACAGCATGATCCATCAATTCAATGCCTCACTGGAGAAATCTCAGATGAAAGAAAGGGCTTAGCCAAAAGAAACCGGAAGACAGTATTATTCAGGTAATCTAACGCTATGCTTCAGAGAGCACAAGAAGTTTATGTGGGAGGGTGAGAAAGCCATTTTTCACACGGTTGAGGATATTGCACAGCTCATCAGCTGCATCCTGGGAAGAGTCTCATCTTCCCAGTGAGCAGTTGCTATCTGAGAAGACAGGATTAACTGGAGCAATGGTCTGACTGGACCACTGGACTGTAAGAATTGGCTTTGTCTGAGTACCCATTCTCTTCCCTTGCCTTCCCCTTGAAAACACACATCAAGCCAGATCACCGCTCTCTGTCGCACCAAACTGAGAGGTGTGTTGCTCTTACATTAAAAGATAGGGCACATGCAAACAGATGTCTGAAGTGCTGGACCTTGCTTCGTCTGGGTGCTTGCACTGCTGTGAAAAAGTCATGACACTTCCCACAGCTACTGAGCTAGATAACAGACAGAATCACAGAACAGTTTAGCTTGCAGGGGATCTTAAAGATCGTCTAGTTCCAACCCCACTGCCGTGGACAGGAATGCAGCTCAAAAAGCAATGAATGGTGTTAGCACTTCAGGGTGAACTCAGTCTGCCATGGTGGGGGGCAGGTTTTTTACTAAAAAAAATACTGTGCTTCAGATTTCACAGTGCTTCTGGTGCAGTCATATTCCTTTGGTCAGCAATGGTCTTTCACTGCTCTGCTTTGGCTTTTGCTGTGGAGCAGCTCCTAGACATCAGGCCAGGAAAACATTTAAACATATTCCCAAGATCCCTTGATTTCAATCCTATGCAGTGAGTTGTATTTTCTTTTAAGCTGTTTTCTCTGCTATAAATTCTACCTTAAAAACAATTTCAGGGTCTCCTATCCACCCCCCTTATCTCTTGTTTAGCATGTCCTGCCCACCTCCCATCTTGCTCCTTTTAGAAGCAATATTCTGTGTATGCAGTACTGGTGTACGATAAATATTGCCAAAAAGACTTCAAGGCTGAGCTTAGGCAAGATTTACAGGCGGGGAACATAACTTTTCTTAAGCTAAATGCTTTAGCTTGAATAAAGCAGGATTTCCCAGGCACATCAAACATTTGACCTGATGGATGCAAACCCAGTCACCAGCACCACATTGCAATGACAGTGAAACACTGACCTACCCCAGGGCATGTAAACAAGAAAGATATGGAGCAACACATGTAATAGTCACAGATTTTAAGCACCAGGTAGATCAGAGACAGACAATCTTCAGTTTACAAGTACTTTCAGTATCATTCGGATCTCACTGCCCTCTCAGTACTCTCTATTCCCATGTTTCTCAATGCAACCCTGGTATAAATGAAGCCACTCATATAGCATGGAAGAAGCCCTGACCCCAGGCTCTTTTACTGGGGAGGTTGTTTTATAAAGTCATGCTATGCTGAAACTACATTGGGAATATGTGAGGAAGAAAAGGAAGGGTGGAATTGTCTACAGCTCCTGCTACAAACTGAGATTTAATGTCCAGTGCACCCAAGAAAATGTCAGAAATTGTTTTCACATTGCCCAGAAAAAGAAGGAACTTTTGTGAAGAGGAGGAGGAAGGAGAAAGGGCTGGTGGACCCAGGGCATCTTCCACATTGCTTGCAGAAACTCATCCTGAGGTTTGGCTGAGAACACAGGAACAGGAGGAATTACAGCCCATAGTACTGTTATAGACCCGGTTTTTATGTCTTTCCAAAACTAAGCAGTAGGCTAAAATACTGAATCTTCAAGGCAGGGCTATTGCATGTTCCTGATCCAGAAACCCCACATCTGATCTGTTCTCCTAGTAAAGATGTGGAGCTTCAGTGATTTCCATTGCGCTATTGGACCTGGCCTGTGGTCCTGGCCTGTGGTGGGACAAATCTTGACTTCACAGGACTTGTCATTTGGCTTAAGCAGTTGAAAACTCCTCTTTCTATCACTCTGTTTATGGATAACATACGAATATCCAAAGTATTTCCTAAACCTTGTTACCCCCCCAGCCACTGATCCCAACGTAACCCTATCCAAGCAGGCTGCCTCCCACAACAACCAAGTGTCAGGGGCATCTCTGCCTGCTTTTGCTCTCTGGCACTGTTTTTCCACATGCTTTTGCAGGATGGGCACATCTTGGACACCAGACTCCATCCAGCAATGGATTAGCAGCAATTAAGCAGTGCTCATTGCCCCAGTCCTAAGCGGACCTCCCCTGAACTGAACGGGAGCCACACTGGATCTTGCCTCTTTCCATTTCTGGGGCTAATTATTACCAACTAAACAGCACTAGGCTTTCCCTTTTTCTCTTTGCCATGCTTGTTAGCATTGTTTCTTCCAGCAGCTTTTCATCTCAATGGAGGCAATTGTGCCTGCCTGACATTTTAATTCTTTCCAGCTGCATCTGAACAAAATGACACAAATTAAGTGGAAGGGCTTGAGGAAGAGGGGGAAGGAAGCTCCCAGTCCCCACAGTCTGTCCTTGTCCTACAGCAAGGGTTTTGTGCTCAGTACAGCAGATGCTCAGAAGGTGCCATGGTGAGAGGTTTTGATGCCACACTGACAGTACGGTCCAGTCCAAGGGATGTTATGTTACATCAGCATCTCTCTTGACCTGTTTCTCTGAGAATCATGGTGGGGAAACTTAGAGGTGAAAGATTTTCAAGGTCTCCAAACAGAACAGTGGCACACTTTTGCCTTTACTTAGAGAAAGATACCTTGATTTAGGTACCTCACCTTAACTGAGGTGAGATTGAGCGAGCTCCTACCCATTCTATGAAAGGTCTGCAGCTGAACTATACTGGTTCAAGAGATGTTTAAGAGAACAGACTGGCAAGTTGCAAATTTCTTTAACAATACATAGAAATCTCAGCCATGAACAAAGACCTCTCTGGGTAAGATACTACAGAATGGAAAGTCTGCCTATGCCCCTTAATGTATTAAGGAGACCAAAGAGAAGCATTAAAATGAGTGTACTTAAATATTGCTCTTGCAGGTCTTAGGATGCCCATGCAGCTCTTTTCAGAATCTAAGCCCTCTAGCCTAAGCTAGGACAAAAAGAGTTGTCAAGAGACAACTTAAATGCAAAAAGTCTCTAGCAGCTAGTATGAACCACAGGGAACAGGATCAGACTGGCTCAGTAAACCACAGGGCAACACAATTAGACTGATGCTGGATTAAGCCTGCCATGAAACCAGAAGAAGAAACTGGAGACGTTTGCTTGCCACATTTGTGTTACTAAAGCCTCATATTAGTCAGCAGGGGTGGAAAAGGCTTTGGTGTTTCAGTGGTTCCTCATTCTAGCACCAGGCTCATGGTCTCACCTCAGCTACTAATTTCCAGGCAATAGAAACCTTGCCTCCTTGCTTCCTGCATCACATCTACCCTTTTTTTTTTTTTCATTTAATCAATTTCTTTTGACTCAGCTACTATCTTTGTGGACACTTTGACAGATTTTCCAGGGTCCTGCACTGCCTACTATTCCTATTCCCTGATTTCTGTTCACATCAAGCACTGTAAAGCTCAGCTCCTGCCTGAGGACAAAGGGTTTGTGCTGTGGTCTGAAGATGCAGCTATGGCTGTCACCGGAACTAGCCTGAGGCTACCTGGCTTCGGCACTGGTAGCACTGTAACCACATCAGCTGCATGGTACAGTGTCCACAACAGCTTCCCATTTTGGCACACAACAAGAGACATGGGCTGATGCAGGAGGTGTAAGGAACTGGAGATCAGGGGGAATGCAAGGGCCCACAGAGAAATCTGATGCAGGAGATGAAGAAAGTAGCTGGAAAAGAAAT